GTGGCGGGGGAGCCGCTCCAGCTGGGGTGAAACCCCCCCTTCCGCCCTCCTCTTTAATTGGTGGACCAATTAAACAGGGTTTTACATCTCTAATGTTGATGCATGTCTAGGATTTGTGTCTCTTCCGCACCTGGACAGCGCCAGCAAGAGACCTGTAAGTCCTTCGGGGGAGATAGAGGTGGCCTGACTCTCCTTTCGCATGCAGTGGTGCAAGTCAGGAGTAACTCGAGGGAAATCCATGGAGTTAAATGAGTGGAGGAGGAAGAGTCTGGCTCGGGAAGACAATCCTTCAGTGGCCAGTGAAAGCGGGGGAGATGGAGAAGATGATCTAATCGGCCTTTCCCACCTCTCTCTTCCTTCACATTTCATCCCGCAGCTGGAATCATTTCCCATCCAGTTCATGTTTTAAACAATCCAACAAACTTCTACAGCTTCGTACATCCGACAAACCGCACACCCTGGTTAAGAATTGTTACCCTGTCATGTTCTGGAGAATGCAAGGGAGGGGAGGCAGATTTGCATTCTGTGGTTTGGTCAGTGCAATGCTCTGAAAGAAACACTGTTAGAAATTTCCCAGCTGTCTCGCAGGTGGGACTGGGAAACCAGACAGCCAGAACCCGTTTTGCAGGTATTCTGCTTATTTTCTTGCTCAGCCTCCCACAAAGCTGAATCTGGAAGAAGTCTTCCTTTGGGAGTTGTGACTCGCTAAGGACCTAGCTCTGCTTTCTGCTACAAGGTGTGCTCTTTCTTACTAAGGGAGTTCCTAATTGCCACATGGCTAAGAAGATCGTGTCTGTGTACTTGTCTTAATGGTGCTCTGGTCCTGCCTGCGTGGTAGAATTGCATAGGAAGGGGAGAGACCTCTTTATTCAAGGCAGGTGAAATTTTACAGGGCTAGGACTGTTTGGCTAGGTCTAGACTGGCATGATTTTCCGGAAATGTTTTTAACGGAAAAGTTTTCTGTTAAAAGCATTTTCGGAAAAGAGCGTCTAGATTGGCACGGACGCTTTTCCGCAAAAGCACTTGATTTCTTACAGTAGGAAGTCAGTGCTTTTGCGGAAATTCAAGCGGCCAGTGTAGACAGCTGGCAAGTTTTTCTGAAAAAGCGGCTGATTTTCCGGAAAAATTGGCCAGTCTAGACACAGCCTTTTATTCTTCAGCTCCCAGACCATAGAGTCCGTTTTAGCTCTGAGAACTTTGCACTTGATTCTCTTCTCACTCACGCCTGTGTATTCCCATTCGCATTGCTGCAGTTCCTCCTGATTTTCACCAACACGTGTGGCAGGAGAATCAGGCTCTTGAGCTGTTATGACTGGATGGCCCATCTATTAACCAGTGTGGATCGCTTTGTTTATGTAACTTGTGCCCGGCTCACTTCTAGCGTCCGCGTGGATGATACCTGTGACGTGTACATCCTGGGCAATTTCTTTGTTCTGTTTCTGCTAGGTGTGAATTCCTTCCTGGTTTACATGGCCTTCAAAGATCACTTCCAGCTCACAGATTCTCAGGTAGGAGGGCTTTGTGTTCACAAGTGATGCGTTAGCCACACACGAGTTACTGAGCTCAATGTCACACAGGAAGTCAGAGTAGATGATGTCATAGTTCTGTCTGGCCTTAAACGCCACGAATCTATGTTCTGTGCCTGTGTCAATTACTCGACTAGGTGTGAATTCCTTCCTGGTTTACATGGCCTTCAAAGATCACTTCCAGCTCACAGATTCCCAGGTAGGAGGGTTTTGTGTTCACAAGTGATGCGTACACAGGAAGTCAGAGTAGATGATGTCATAGTCCTGTCTGGCATATGTTCTGTGCCTGTGTCAATTACTCGAGTTGTGCCATCAGCTGGGATTGAACCAGAGGCCTCTGGATCGAAAAGCGTGAGCTGCTACTGCTGGCGCTTAAAGAGCAGCACTGACAATCGGGCTCCATTGAAGTCAATGGCAGAATTTTGCATTGATTTCAGCAAAGCCACAATTTTACCCCAGGCCTCTTATTTTTGGAGGCAGTAGCAGACTCATAAGCTGCCCTTTGTCTGGCCAGTAGAAGGCAACAAAGAGCCTCACTGGGTGGGGATGTGGCACTTGTATAGTAAGAATGCCAGTGCCTGATTTTCACGGCAAAGCACTTTGTGGTTGTATCATTGGGACCTCAAGAAGAAAAAAAAAAAAAGGCCAGTGGGAGTTCTTTTTGCACTGGGTATATTGCATTGCTGGAATATACAAAGCGCAGACGGTCTTTGCTCCCAAATGTGATGTGCTGGAGATTTTCCTCAGTGCCTGAAATTCACCTTAAAACTGATGCAGAGGTGACAAAATGTGGTACTTTTTAATCTAAGAATACGTCCAACATTTTCAAAAGGGACCACTGACTGCGATTTTGGGGTGCCCCCGCAAGATCCAAGACACCTCATTGTCAGAGGGGCAGAGCTTCCATGACTTCCATCAAAGGCAGAGAGGGTTGTAGGAGCTAACCAGCTTTGAAAATCAGGCCCAGTGCTTTGCAACTTGGGCATCCTTGACTTGAGGCCTTAAAGGTGCCATTTTTGAAATTTTGTCCTTTTAGAAATTCCACATGTGATGCCCTGGACAGTGTACCAATTCCTGCTTTCTGCTCCCTTGGAATAATAATAAATAATAACTCTTATGACAATCGGGCTCCATTGAAGTCAATGGCAGACTGGGACCTCAAGAAGTCTGGCGATCTGCGCATGTGCAGATTGTTCTGCGCATGCGCAGATTGCCCGAACCCGGCTCTTCTGGGTTGTAATCTACTCGCCACGGGCGACTAGATTGCATTACTTGTCAAGCCCTGCTTATAGCGTGCTACTCACCTGTAAGTCTGCAAGCGCTCCAGAAAGGAGGCCGTTATTCTTATCCCCATTTTGCAGCTGGGAAAACAGAGGCACAGAGACATGAAGTGACTTGCCCAAGACTCCCCAGCAAATCCGTGGAAGGGGCAGGAACTGACACCCAAC